CTATTGCCTTTGGGCACCAACCAGTTATCTGCCTAACTTAGAGGCACCTCTGCATGCACCAAGAATGCATAAAGGATTTCAACTGATTTCTATAATCACTCAGAGGCATTCTACCAAAAACATATAATACCTGTCCTGGACTCATTGTGGCGAATAAAACTCGTGTATCCCAAAAAGTCTTAATACTGACTGAGCAGCTCTATTAAGGAACATGTCATTACCAGTGTTGGGCAAGCTACTTTGAAAAAGTAATTAATTATGGTTACTAGTTACTTCTTCAAAAAAGTAACTGAGTTAGTAACTGACTTACAATATTCTAAAAGTAATTAATTACTTGAAAAGTAACTACTGCATTACTTTAAAAAAATGTTTAACCCTCTGGGGTCCAGGGTATAATTATAAGATGCGGTAAGCTGAACACAGCTTCAGCCGTCTGTTTGTTGAAAAATAGTAACGGACCACATTTTCTTGTTAGTAACTGTAACGGCGTTGTAACAATAGGAATAGTAATTAGTTAGATTACTCGTTACTGAAAAAAGTAACACCGTTGGTAACGCCGTTACTTGTAAAGCCGTGACAAAGCTGAAGCTGCGCTGGGGCTGGATCTTTCAACAAGACAACGACCCGAAACACTGCTCAAAAATCCACTAAAGCTTTCATGCAGAGGAACAACGTTCTGGAACGTTCATCTCAGTCCCCAGACCTGAAAACCTTGAAAACCTGTGGTGTGAGTTAAGGAGAGCTGTCCATGCTCAGAAGCCATCAAACCTGAATGAACTAGAGATGTTCTGTAAAGAGGAATGATCCAAAATACCTTCAACCGCAATCCAGAGTCTCATCGGGACCTACAGGAAGCGTTTAGAGGCTGCAGAAGGCGGATCTACTAAATATCGATTTCATTTCTTTTTTTGTGGTGCCCACATTTATGCACCTGCCTGATTTTGTTTAAACAATTATCGGACACTTTCTGTAAATCCAATAAACTTCATTTCACTTCTCAAATATCACTGTGTGTGTCTCCTATATGATATATTTAACTGACATTTTTTATTGTAACAACCACGATTTATACAGGAAAATAATGACTATTAACAAGGTTGCCCAAAAGTTTGCATCCCACTGTAGAAATGAGCTGAGTAGAGTCATAGGCGCGGGGCTCAGCCAGCAGCCAGTGGAGAAACCACAGGGGAGCAACATGTACTGAGAGAGGTGAAGTTTAATACCTGACCTGACAGACATAGACAAACAGACACAAGAGCCACCTCCACGGGACAAGACTCTGTCCATCTGCATCTAAAGGACACTCCTTCGAGGATGCCAATGTTCACATTTTCAACAGAGAGAACAGGTGAAAACGTCTTCAAGCAACTTAAAGAAGTCCAGACGCTTTTCTTTCCAAGCTTCTAAGAAGACACAAACATGCATTCCTACCCTCATGTACACAGATACAAATACTCACCTATCATAGAGACACACACAAATAAATGCAGCGCACATACTCTCCATACACACTCTGTACTCCAAGTGTGTTGTTCTTTTACAATAAACAGCAACAATCAGAAAGTGTGTTTGGATTGACAACAACTGTGATGATACATTATAACCTGTTATTAAAGTTCTGCCCCTGCTTTGATCAAATGTGGGTTACTGCTGGTTAGTTAGTGTGACTTCATACAAACCTGTGTGTTACACCAGTGGAAGAAGCTTTTCCTTCATCAGTCTTCTTGTTTCTTACTGTAGGGCTGAACAGCTACACTAACACTCTCTGGCTCTATGCTGCCCCCCTGTGGTCACAGTGTTGGTTCATATATATATTGAAATTTTAAAAAAATAATAATAAAGAAGATTAAACTATTAAATATTTAAAGATAATAAGCAATAAGTAATAAGTTCTGTTTTTATACAATTTAACTTTATAACAGCACATTTTACAGTTTTCATGACATTTTCCCATAAGGTATATAAGTGAATAAATATGGATACTGTTAGGGTGCTGGGTCATAGACCCAGTGTTTTTGTTTTGGTTCTTTGATTTTGTTGATTTAATTAAATTCCAGCTGTGACTTATGGGTTATAGGATTATTCTTAGTTTAGGTTCTGTGTGGGTTTTGTTAGAGTTGTAGTCGTCTGGTTTTCTGTCTGTGATCCATAGTTGCTGTCTTCCCGGTCTGCTGTACCCTGTGTCAAGTCTGTGTTTCTGTGTTATGTTTCCTGTTTTACTTTGAAAGTCTGTGTCTCTTGTAATGCATCTGGTTTTGCTTCCTTTGTCTCGTCAGCCCTGAGCTGCCCCAGCTGTGTTTCCCTCCTGT